GTGAGGTGGGTCTCTTGGAAACAACATATGGATGAGTCCTGCTTTCTTATCCAATCAGCTACTCTGTGTCTTTTTATTGGAGCATCCAATCCATTTACATTTAAGGTGATTAATGATATGTACTTATTTATTGCCATTTTTGTTTAGTGTGGTTATATTTTTCTTCCTATTTTTTCTACTAATTATAGCAGTCATTTTAACATATCTTAGAGTGCTGGTTTGGTGCTAATGTATTCCCTTAGCGTTTTTTTGTCTGGGACGCTCGTTATTTGACCTTTTATTTTGAATGATAGCCTTGCTGGGTAGAGAGTAGTCTTGGATTCAGATCCTTGTTTTTCATGACCTTGATTACTTCGTGCCATTCCCTTCTTGCCTGTGGTGTTTCTGTTGAGAAGTCAGCTAAGAGCCTAATGGGGGTTCCTTTGTAGGTAACCTGTTGCTTATCTCTTTTTGCCTTTAGGATTCTCTCTTTGTCTTTAATTTTTGGCATTTTAATTACTATGTGTCTTGGTGTGGGCCTGTTCGGATTCTTCTTACTTGGGGCTCTCTGTGCTTCTTGAACTTGAATGCCTTCTCCCTTCACCAAATTAGGGAAGTTTTCTGTCACTGTTTTTTCAAATAAATTCTCTAACCCTTGCTCATTTTCTTCTTCTTTGGGGACTCCTATGATGTGAATATTATTACGTTTCCAGTTGTCCCACAATTCTCTTAAGCTGTCTTCCTGTTTTTTAATTTTTTTTTCTTTTGTTTTTCTGATTGGTTGATTTTTTTGTACCCTGTCTTTTAATTCACTGATCTGGTCCTCAGATTTCTCTACTCTGCTGTTTAGACCTTCCAATGTGTTCTTTATTTCTGATATGTCATTCTTCATATCTTCTTGGTGGTTTTTAATTTCCAGTTGGTTGATTTTCAACATTTCTATGTCTTCACTCATGGTGTTGATGTCCTAACTCATGCTGTTGAGCTTCCTCAAGATCATGGCTCTGAATTCTAGCTTTGTCAACTTGCTTAACTGCTCATTTATCTCATCTTTGGTAGAGGTCTCTTGTTCTTTCATTTGGCATTTGTTTCTGTGTTTCGCCATTTTGGCTATCACAGTGGGCTTTGGAGCCTGCCAAATTTTCCCTGTGGGTGTTGGTGTTGTGCTGTTTGTGCCTCCCTCTCCTGGGTTTGGATGAGCCTGGGTGGGCCCATGTTAAACACCACTGTCAGGTCTTACTTTCCTGGGCAGGGTTGCAAGCCCAGGAATGGTTCAGTTATCCTCCAGCTCTTTGCCTGGAGGTTATCAATAGTGGTTACTTGAAGAGCCTTGGGTTCTCAGTTGAATGAAAAACTCCCTCAGGTGCTCAGTGTATGGGGATTTCCCAAGGGTGGGGCAGGTGCTGGTTGGTAATGAGCCTCAATTTGCATTTCAATGGCCCACCTGGGTGGGGTTGAATCTCAGATGGAGGGACCACTGCTTCTCCCCAGAGCCCTGGGAGGGAGCAATATGGCCACCATCCTTGGTGGCCACAACTCAGCAAAAACTCTGAGTGCCCTCCAATCCCAAGTATCCCCACACAGTTCTTGTCCAGTCCACCCTCCCTCTGCTGGAGCCCAAGGTGAGTGGCTGTGGTTTTTTTAGCCTCTGTCCCAGCTCTGCGCTGTGGAGCTGCTTGGGAGTGTAACCCCGAGGGCGCTGCTCACTGCTAAGGCCGCTGCTGTCCGTGGGCTCCCAGACCCCCTCTTGCGCCTCCACAATCCTACCAGGATCGAGTCAGTGTCCCTGGTTATATGGTCCTTGCTAGCTGCTTTTCTGTTGTGTTTTCACATCAATTTGTCTGTGTTTCAGTTGTAATTCCAGTTTGGTCCTGGGAGACGGTCTGTGTAGCTTCCATTCACTTTGCCACCATTTTGGAATCCTCGCTTTTCTGTTTGTTTGTTTTTTTTTATCACTTTTTCCCCATGGGCCAGCTGCAGGTGTTATGATGTGAGCAGGTAAAACTTGGAGAGATACTTGCAGTCCTATTAGTGGTGCAGTGAGTGAACTGAATTCACTGTGACTATAGCAACTGAATAGAGAAGAATATCCCAGAAAGGAGAGAACCACAGAGGAGGAGTCCTAATTCTCTATATAAACCTGCCCACATCTCTGGCTGATGCAAGTTCTACACACACAGGATAGATTCCAAGCACCCTAGGGAGGGTTGAGATAACTGAATGGAGAATGCAGCTGCCACCCAATGCAGAGGAAATAGAATTTGGAAGTTTGGTTTTAGATAAATTAACTGCTAAAATGAAAAATCAATATCCTTTAATGGAATGAAACAATTCAGAATCTGTAGAACATACCACTTACAAAATCTGGGATCCCATTATAAACTACTCTACATATGAAAAGAACAGGAAAATGTTACTTATACTGAAGAGGAAAGCAGTCAGTGGAGACCAACCCCAAGATGACTCATGCTGAAATTAACAGAGAAGGACTTTAAAGCAGCTTAGGTCCGTGTTCAAGGGCAAAGGGGGAATATACTTGTAATGAATTAAAAGATAAGATGTCTCAGCAGAGAAGTACAAACTGTATACAAAAATTCTGGGACGAAAAATACAGTATCTGAACCCTAAAAATCATTGGATGAGCTTAAAAGATGGGCAGTGACAGGAGAAAGTGTCGGTTAACTTTGAAGAGAAACCAGCACAAATTAGCCCATCTGAAAAACAAAAACGATTGGAAATACGTAGCCTCAGTGACTTGTGGAACTGTACATAAAGGTCAGTTAGAATACCACACCAACAGAAGGAGAGAGAAGGGGCCAGAAAAGAGTTGAAGAAATGATGGCTGACATTTTTCTCAAATATGTGAAACACAATGAATAAAGAAACTCACCCATAAGGACATCATGGTCAAACTGCTAAACACCAAAGAAAAAGCAGCAGCCACAGATACAGTACGCATTACATATAACAGAAAGATGATAGGAATAGTTGCCAGCTTCCCATTAGAAACAGTGGAAGCCAGAGATAGTGGAGCAACATCTTTAAAGTGCTGGGGGTTGGGGGGACCCTTTCTTCCCAGAACTTTATATCCAGTGAAAATTTCCATTAAAATGAAGGCATAATTAAGACATTTCCAGATAAATGATAGCTGAAGGAATTCTTCACCAGGAAACTGACATTATGAGAAACGCCAGTTTTTCAGGCTGAAGGAGATAATACCAGATAGAAACTTGAATATTCACGAAAGAATGGAGAACCCTGGCCAGAGTGCCTCAGTTAGTTGGGTGTCAGCCTGTGCACCAGGTGTTTGCCAGGTCGATTCCCAGTCCAGGAAACATGCTCGTGCAGGAGGCGGCAATCGGTGTTTGAAAAAAGAGAGAATAAGCCCGGCTGGTGTGGCTCAGTAGTTGAGCCTGGACCCCTGCACTAAGAGGTCACCGGTTCAATGCCCTGGCCAGTTTGGCTCAGCGGTTAGAGCGTCGGCTTGCGGTCCGGAGAGACCCGGGTTCGGTTCCCGCTAAGGGCACGTACTTCGGTTGCAGTTTGTCCCCGGCCCTGGTTGGTCGTGTGAGTGGCGGCCACTCGATGTGTCCCTTCACGTCGATGTTTCTCTCTCTCTCCCTCCCACTCTATCTGTACAAAAAATGGAAAAATATCCTCGGGTGAGGATAAAAAAAAAAAAAAAAAAAGTCACCGGTTCAATTCCCGGTCAGGGCACGTGCCCAGGTTGTGGGCCCGATCCCCAGTGGGGGGCATGCAGGAGGTGGCCAGTCGATGTTCTCTCTCATTGATGTTTCCATCTCTCCCTCTCCCTTCCTCTCTCTTACATCAATAAAGAAAAAAATTTTTTTTTAAAAAGGAGATAATGAGGAGCCACAGAAATGGTAATCAAGTGGGTAAATACAAAGGGCTATCTCCCTCCACTCCCAACTTTTAAAAACTACATATGGCTGGTTTTTTTTGTTTTTTTGTTTTTGTTTTTTTGTTTTTTGCATTTATCTTCAGATAGAGCGGGAGGGATGGAGGGAGAGAGAGAAAAACATCGATATGAGAGGGACACATCGAGTGGTGGCCACCCACATGACCCCAACTGGGGTCGGGGAGAAACTGCAACCCAGGTACGTGCCCTTAGCAGAAACCGAAGCCAGGACTCTCCAGTCCGTGGGCTGAAACTCTAACCACTGAGCTAAACCAGACAGGGCTACATATGGCTTCTTAAAGCAAAAATTATATTGTCCTGTGGGGCTTATAATGTATATAGATGGAATACATATGACAGCTTTAGCAAAAAGGACAGAGAGTAAATGGAACTATTTTTTGTGAGATTGTCCTATTTTAAGTGAAGTGGTGCGTATTATCTACTGTTGTGTAACAAATTACTCTAAAACTTAGCAACTTAAAATAATAAACGTTTATTGCCACCCATAGTTTCTGAGGGTGAGGACTCACGGGGCAACTTAACTGGGTGGCTTTTTTTTTTAAATGTTTCTGTTGTTTTTATTTTTTAGAGAGAGGAATGGAGAGAGAGAAACATTGTGAAAGAGACATCGTGCCTCCTGCACGCCCCCTACTGGGGATCAAGCCAACAACCCAGGCTTGTGCCCTGAACTCTCAGTCCCTGGGATGACACTCAATCCACTGAGCCACGCCGGACGGGCCAGATTTTTCACTTTAGTGTTTTGGGTTTGCTGGGGTTTTATTGGTTGGTTGGTGTGTTGTTGTTTTTTTTTTGGGGGGGGGGACATTTAGCCATTTCAGTAATCACTCTTTCCCCAAATAGAATTCCTCCTGAGGGGTGACCTCTGTGTTTTGGCCTTGTTGTGGAAAGCACTGAGAGCATCCTCTTACTGTCGCTTCACATGTCCTCTGTCAGGTAGATAGTGCTCTCCCCACCTCTGGCCCAGGGCAGGCAGCCAGCTCTGTTCCTTGTTCTCCTTTTATGTGATTGTGCCCAGAGTGCTGCTGCGGCCCCTGACAGGCCATTGGCTGCTCATCGCTTTCTCATTTGTCTACTTTGACAGAGGTCAGAAGAGCAGCTCAGCAACAGGAAGAGCAGGAGCCAAAGGAAGATGAGGAGGATGAGCAAACGCTCCAGCGAGCTCGGGAGTGGGATGACTGGAAGGATACCCATCCTAGGGGCTATGGCAACCGCAAGAACATGGGTTAGTCTCCCCACAACAAGACGGGACTCCAAGGGTGCACGTCTTCCCCTCCCTGGGCTCCGGCTTCAGCTCTGTACCACGAAGACGCTGAATCCTGCTTTGCATTCAATAAAGTGTCAAGGAATTACATGTGTATTTGTTCCCTAGATGATAAGCCAGCGATCTCTTTGGCATTATTCTAATCGTGTTGTATTTCCGTTTCTCAGGTGGAAAGAAGAGAGTACTGAGAAATGGCTCTGTGTAATCAGTGGCTGTATGAATTTTCCTTAAAAAAGAAGTAAAGTCCTGTTCTATTACACGAGGCTGGGCAGAAATACCGGTATCAGCTGTTTGGGGAGGGGGTCAGCCGTGGGTCCCTGGGCTTGTGGAGAGATCCTGGTTGTCTCCTTTCGATCTGGGCCGCGAATTTCCCAGCCTCGGCTACGCAGAAGAGCTGGGGCTTTTGCTCTTCCTTCCCCAGCACTGCGAAATGACCCACCACCACTCCACAAGGGGCCAGGACTTGCCTTGCCACACAGCACTTATTTCCGGAATCACGGCTGTCAGTGAACAGATCATAACCATCCCATCTACGGGTCTTCTTGCCTTGGCCAGGAGGAATGAGAGGAACAGACCAGGCGCGATGAGAGCCATCCTTGGGTATGCCTCTGAGGCCGGGCCTGCCCTCTCCTGGAACTGTTTCCCGGAGCCCTTCGGGAGCAGAGCTCCTAAATGGGCCGCCCTAGAGCACTTTGGCCCTCCTTGCCTGTGCTGTGCAATACCTGCCAGTCTGAAGTGGTAACTGTGCCAGGGAGGTCATTTTGTGAGTTAGTAAGGTGCCGTGACCAGGGGTAGAACATGGGGGTGGACAGATAACACTGGAAGGTACCCACTCTCTGCAGTACAGAGAAGACGTCTTCAGCTCTTGGGTTGAATAGCTTAAAAAAGCAGCCATGTGTTGAAACAAAGATCGGTATAAAAACATACTTTTGTTCTATGTGCCTTTGGTACACTTAGATTTTCTAAGAGGACGATGACTCAGCCTTCCTATTCTAGCTTCTGCAGTCTAGCTTAGGAGAGGGGTTTGGAAAGGAGACTCGGTTCCCTCTTGTTTTCAGGGTGGTAAGTAGAGGGCTGTCAGGTGATGAGTAGGAGGCTGTGTTTAGTGGGAGATGACAGGAGACGACTGATAATATATTTGTGTACTGCTTAATAAAGGACTCATGTCACCCTCACAACAAGCTCCTGAAATTCGAGCAATTTCAGTTCCCCAGGGATTGGGGAAGCAAACATTCAGTTTTTAGCTCTTACAATTATTGTCAGGCTGCCTCTGGCAGTGGCCTGTCTCCTGCCCTTGAAGCTCCACCCAGAATTCATTGTCAAAATGGGCCAGATTGGAGTTACCCCACTGGTCTGAGTCTGTCTAAAGATGGGCCTTCCGGAAGATCCAGCTTGCTAAGTCCCCTCGGGCATTTGGATCGTCTACAAAGACAAACTAGATAAGGTGAGTGTGAATCCTGGCTTTAACCATTGCAAGTTGGCCCTGGCCTTGGAGTTCAATTTGTTCAAATGTCACCCCGATACGCCAAGGTTTCAGGTTCAATCCCTGGTCAGGACACAGAAGAATCAGCCAATTGAATGCATGAATAAGTGGAACAACAAATTGATCTATCGCTCTAAGTCAATTTTAAAAATTGCAAGCTTGCCCAGCCAGTGTGACTCAGTGGATTGAGCATTGGCCCATGGACTGAGAGGTCCTGATTCAATTCCGGGCTGGGGCACATGCCCTGGTTGTGGGCTCGATCTCCAGTAGGGGGCGTGCAGGAGGCAGTCAATCAATGTTTCTCTCACATCAATATTTCTATCTCCCTCTGTCTAAGAAATTAATAAAAACATATTTTTTTTTAAATTGCAAGCTGTGTGAGTGACCTTAGGCAATAAAAATTCTGTGAACCACCCCTGTTTCCTGGATGTCTGGGTTGTGAGAATTAAATGAATCATGGCAGCCACTATAATAAAATCAAGCATAAAATAAATGAAGAAGTACTTCCTTTTTTTTTTTTTAACCCTCACCCAAGGATACTTTTCCAGATAGAGCAGGAGGGAGGAAGAGAGAGAGAGAGACATCGACTGGTTGCCTCACACACAACCCCAACCAGGGCCAGGGACGAACCGCAACTGAGGTACGTGCCCTTGACCAGACTCGAACCCGAGACTCTTTGGTCCGAGGGCCGGTGTTACAACTGCTGAGCCAAACTGGCCAGGGCCAGAATAAGTACTTTCTGTTGGTCTGAGTTCAGTGACCACACTCTGTCCACTAAGAAGGGAAAGCAAATGGACAGCCATTAGGCTCAGTTGTGTGGACCCAGCACTCTACAGCTGTTAATACAATGGCCGGGCCGCTGTGGCTCAGGGGTTGAGCGTCAACCCTGCACCAAATGGTTGCCGGTTTGATTCCCAGTCAGGGCACATGCCCAGGTTGTGGGCCCCATCCCCAGTGGGGGGTATGCAGGAGGCGGCCAATCGATGTTCTTGCTCATCAATGTTTCTGTCTCTCTCCCTCTCCCTTCCTCTCTAAAATAAAGAAAAAAACTGTTTAAAAAAAAGACTCCTCAGTTTGGGTTTCAGCATTGTCCCTATTTTACAGACGAGAAAAGGGCCCAGAGCAGCTGAGTGATTTCCTCAAGTTCACACTAGTATGAAGCTTCTATCATCTTCCATGTGCTTCCCAATTGCTCGTACTTTTAGTTATGTCTTAAAGGTGCTTTCAAAGAGGGAGTAGCTTTAAAATTCCAAACCCAAACGACCACTTATGTATCATGGGAGCTCTGGAAATTCCTTCTTAGCTGACTCACCAAAGAGGCGGTGATGCTAGCTCCCCCACCCTTTCCCTTCAGCTGGAGGCTACGAAGACAGGCAGTGAGCAACCACGTCTTACTCCCCTCGGGTCAGCCTACCCGAAGGCCCCCAAAAGAACCACCTTCTCTACCTCCACCAGAGCCAGGCCTGTCAGGGTCCTAGTGAACCACAATGCAGGGTGTCCCCAAAAATGTCTATAGGGTGTCTGTAGATTGCATTACATTTTGAAAATGAGATGCATTTTAATGAACACTGGCTTTATGATTATTCAAAGTGTATACATCTTGGGGGGACACCCCATATTTGCCCTCAGTAGCTGTCACCTGGAGGCCCACTGGATTAGGTGAACGCCGAGCACTGAGAAAGGCCAGCGGATGCAGGCGCCGATTTCAAGCCCCAGAAGTGCAGCTACGAGCCCTGAGTTTGAGTCCCAATCCTTGGGGCTCTGCCACCCAGTCACCTGCATCAGTTCTGTCATTTCAAACAACTCGAAAAGGGGGAAACGTTTGAAATCAACCCCCACCCCTCTGTGTCATTGGAACTTCAAAGTCATCCCTCTGCTTCCCCCAGGCCTCCAGTTTTCTCATCAATACCACGGACCTGTCGCTACCCATCCGTGTGGGCCGCCCTACAGCAAGGTGCTGCTGTTATCACTGTCCCCTTGCAACACAGCTCTCTCCAACACCTGCGCATCATTTCCCCACAGCTTCCTTGAACCCATTTGTCCAAGGCACAGTTCACTCCTGTTCCATGACAAGGAGACCTGGCTCCGAATCCAGGCTCTGTCACCACCTGAGCTCCTCCCTGTTGCAGGAGTGAGGAGCAAATGACATCCACCTGTGGAGGCACTTTGAAGTGTCCTCAAACGGCACAGGAAGGAGGAGCGGGAGCAGCAGGCTGTTGGCGAGCTGGGGGCACAGAGGAGGGGATGCGTGTGTTCTTCCTCAGTGTCTCACACTTGCTCCAACCCCTGCCCCTCTAAGGCTTTCTCACTCCAGCTTCTCATACAGCGGCACCAGCTTCTCTGCGCGCCGAGATGAGCAACACAGAAGTGTATATGCCGTGGGAACCGGCAACCGGTTTGGCCGAATCTGCCCTCCAGGCCACCTTTGACTAATGTGTGTGGAAGGGTGTTGAATACAGTCTTTAGAGTTCAGTTTCTTGTCCCCGCTAGCAATGACTCACAAAGGTAGTCCAGCTCAGCAGTGACCGGCCAGCCTGTTCCTGTGTGGCAGCACAAATTAAAACTAGCTGCCATGCAGGTACATGGCAGAGACCATGTATGAGGCACCTACTATACATCAGGAACTTTACATTATTCCTAATCCTCACAACAGCCCAAGGTAGATAGTATTAGAGCCTTGATTTGTAAATGAGGAAAATGAGGCTCTGAAGAGTGACTCCCAGTCGACCTGACTCCAAAGCCTACCGCGCTGCCTCTCTAGGAAGCACAAAGCACAGAGGACACAGGAAGGTGGGCGACAACCCTCCCCTTTCTCTCAGGTTTGAGCAACGCAGTTATCAGTTTTGCCTGCCAGGTCGAAAGGGCCACATCTGAGACCTGCTCACCAGGGGAAACCTCCCCTTCCTGAGTCCTCGCTCCCTCAACCTGCAGGGGGACATTCCTGCTGCCAGTGCCAGGCCCACCTCTGTCCGCCCTCCCACCCCAGCTGATCTTTGTACGAGTAAATCTTCTTAAATCTCCTATCACTGCTTCTCACTTAAGGGTTCCTACAATTTTCTAAGCCAGTTGACGTCCCCCTTAGTCCACCAGGCCTTCCCAGGCAACTAAGACCAGACACAGGCCATGAGTGCTTGAGGCTTGGGGGCCCGGGGCTGGGAGGAAGGGTTTCTGCCTGAACTATGATGAGATATTTCAACACAGAGACAGATACCATCTCTGCTATCCTGGTGCCCTTGGCCCTGGCTCAGAGACATTGACACATTTACAGAAATTTCTCACCAGCATTATGTAATCTGTCTTCTCCTTTCTATCTACCTTCTCCCTTGAGTGACCTCCAGCCCACCTCTGACTACCTGATCACATGTGCGCTGTGGGTAGTACTAGGCCTGCCTTCGGCGGAATTCCCACACCTATGCCCTACCATCTATTACACAGCTCTGCGTAGTGAACAAACCTAACTCAACGGAGAATCTTGAAATGAGCTCATCACGTTTCCCGCCCCCCTCTCTCCATCAGAATCTCTGAGGTCCCCAGCGCCTGTTTAGTGTTCAGCCCAAGAAGCTTAACATTGTTTCTGCCTTCTTCCTTTCCACAAAGCCAGCATTCAGTGTCTGTGGAATGAATCAC